GTTTTCTTTCTGATTATGAATTATTTTAAACACTACCCAAAAATATTGAAACTCTGCTCTAAAGAGCGTTGTACTAGCTATTTACCAACACCTTCCTTTGCCCTCTCTTTGCACTGACATCTGATTTTTAGCTTAGCCAGTTCTAACCTGGGTTTTGTTACTTGTCATGCAATTAGGATAGCAGTTGGTTGAAGTTTTTGTCAGTAAAGATCATAAAACAACTTTCAGGCAGGCTCTCCTCCTTCTCATGCAACTACTCTGACACATTACACAGCACCCTGTTTTCTGGAAGAGTACCCATAGCCATAGACAACATTTTGTTAATAATGGAGACAATTTTTTAAGCTTTTTGACAAAAGGTGCTCAAGGCATATTTGACTTTTCCTCATTAGTATTGGTGGTGTGTTTTTAAATATTACTGTCTTTAAGATGAAGATTATTCCTGTACTACTGTAATATCCCACTTTTAGAACAGGGAACAGAAACTTCAGTCTGGGCACACTGTTAAGTCTGGAGTTGTATACTTTTGCAATATCTTTTTTTTTAATATAAAAATACATTGATTAAATTATAAATTAAGCATACATTTTATTTCAGTGTTTCTTTGCTTATTTTCAATTCTCCACATTGTGACTAAGGATTGTGTGTACTTTAGTTGAAAACAGATTTTTGGTATGTGATTACAGCTTTTTATGCAGACTTTGGTATGTCTGAAAAGTGCTGTGTACGGGATCCCATGAACTTTCCTCTAGTGCTTTCACTCACATTGGCACACTGCTTCTCAACCACTGCTGATTCCAGCTTATACTGCCATCTCCAGTTCAGCCCAGATATTCTTTAATATGCAGCTGATACACTTAGTAGGTGCTCTATATGCAGGTAGATTTACATGGATGTCAGTTCACATCTGGACATAGGCATGCATACATATGTACGTGGTTGTTTAATGTATATCTGGATTAAAAAGTGTTGGGCATAACACTGCTTAATGGAATTCACTTGCTAATGAGCTGAAGGTCGGGGGATGTCAGGCTCCTTTGACAGGAGCTGTCAAGCTGACAATGTTTCCCAGTGCTCACATATAAATGTGGCGCTCATGTAGGTCTCATTTCTGCCCTTTCTGAATGTCCTTGTGTGACTAGTGTGCCCGGTCATTTTTGGCTGCCAAGACTCCAATGCAATCTTATTTTATAGCCAGGTTCCAAGAAGGTTATACATTATGGGCCTAGAAGAGGTCTCTCATTCTTCTTCATTATCAAACAGAAGATTTTTTTAAGGTTTACTAAAATGCCCAAACATTAAAAACCCCACTTCTTTGGATCTTGGACTACTTTGGACCCATACAAAGATTGGGTGGGCAAAATTTTCAAACTGGACTTTTGCTGCTCAGTGGTCCCATCTATTCTTTCTTATTTGCCAGGATCCAAGCTCAAGAAAATGTCTTTCTTCTGAAAAGAAACAAAACTTCACTGTACCTCATATTTAGTAACTGTCATGGCTTCTGCTTCCTGATTTCATTTAGCAAAGTCATCAACAGTCATATGAGAAATTAGGAACTCTGAACTGGGTTTATGGCAAACAAATTAGTAGTGTTTGCACTTACAGGTATTATTTTGAGGTAGGAACTGAGGCCTTGTGTGAGAAAACTCTAAGCAAGTGAGATAACTGAGTGGAAAATCTTAGCAGAAAGGTAAAACACTATTTCCAAGATTATTTTTGTCCAATGACTCACTTCAGCTGTGTTCTGTCATCTTGACTTAGCAAATGAGTGCTTGAAGCCAGATGACAATCAAAATGGTGTTTTCATAGTACTGAACAGTTTGCTTCTGACTTGTGAAATGCATATTTCAAGGCTTTATATCTACTTGGAATTCATTCAAAGAGAACTGAGAGACGAGAGAATTTGTGTTAAATAGAACCTGAACAGTGAGCTTGCCTTGAGTGTCAGCTTAGGTGCTTCTTTAAAACAAACAGCAGAAATTTAATTTGTCATACGAATGCACAAGCTAGCCATGAGTCATGATATCCAGTGCATAATTGCTTGTCACCTCACACAAACATTTGGATTTAGACACACACTTTTAATTTCCTGAGTTTTTTGGGGGTTTTATTTGGGTTTTTTCTTGGGTTGGTTTTTTTAGGATTTTGGGGGGTTGGTAGTTTTGTTTGTTTGTTTTGTTTGATTGCTTTTTTTGTTTGGTTCATGCCACTGTTTTTTGTTGTTGTGTTTGTTTGTTTGGGGGTGTTTTTTGTTGGTTTTTTTCCCTTGTATAGCATCCAATGAAAAATCCTTTTTTTTTTTCATACTTTATGCTCACTCTGAAAACACTGGAGATGTGGAAGTGAAATGCACAACAAAGTATTAATAACTTCTGTAATTTCAGGGGAAGAAGAAGCAATGGTGCTTAGAGGAAGGAAGGCATAAACTTAATAACTGTTCTTTAAGTGGGCACAGTTCATAGTGTTTTGATCTTCTAGTAATACAAGAGATATAAAGAAAGCAGAGCTGGAGGAACCAACACAATTTACTCCTGCCTTTCAATAAAAGACAACAGAGAAAAATTGTTTATAATAGGAAACTCTGCAAAAGCTCTATACACCATCTCTGTGTTTCATATATAAAATAAATTGGTCATAGTCTGTTTTTTAAAGATAAGCACTAATATACTGAAAATTAAAATATGTAGAGGAAAATTTATTAAAGTGAAAAATTGCCTGCTGCCTTGGTCTTTTGGCTACTACACGAGAAAATGTGAGGAATATTTTGATTTATAAATAACTGCATGATTGAATAAGGTTGAGGTTTTTCAGATGTGACCTAATGTATTAAGAATGTCTTCTCTTTAAAACTGGAAGGGGAAGCTGAAAAATTTGAAATGTGATTTTCTTTGGTATGTAATTGAACTATAAATGACCTATTGTATAGTTAATCTGTATATTCTAATTTTAAAAATTTTGTAATTTATTAGCAAGAAAAACTTCTGTCAGTCCTGCACCAATATTCTTATATGGGCACCGTGGTCCCTTAATCAGAAGATCCTGTCACCATCAAATTCAGAAGACACAGCCAGTGTTCACTCATCTTCAAGTCCTGCAGTAGTCTGGAAGAACAAATTTCATGCCTTTGCTACCATTAGAAGGTATCAATTTGTACAGCTACAGATTTGTTTAATGCTTTTGGGTATTCTAAACATTCTAGGAAACCTACTATGTTTTTCTCTGTGATGACTACTTCTTTGGCAGACTAGAAAATCTCAGGTCGGACTAGTTACTACCAGTTGGAGAAATTTTCAAGGATTTTTGTTCTTTTGGTAGTAGTTTATAAATAGAACCTGTTTCTTAAGATGCTGGAGAGTGTTATCCTACTGGATACAGACTGTAAGCACAGGAGATAGATCCAAACAAATTGCAGTATGTGGTGCATATTTACCTAAATGTTTGTAAAAAAAAAAAAAGCAGGGTTCAGCCATGTTTACCGACATGAATTTTTATCATTCTGCTGTCAAATCTTGTTTCATGAATAAATACCTCATTCATGGAAGAAGCAAAATGTATTTCTTAGAAGTACAATTTACTGACTTGAAGTTTATGCTTCACTGACACTATTTGAATGAGACGCACATCTAGTAGGTGTCTTCCCTGCCCTCGGCAGGGGCGTTGGAAGTAGCTATGGGTCCCTTGCCACTCATTTACTGTGCCAAAGTTATCTTCCAAGGAGGAGAGTTTTGCAGTTCAGGACTCTGCTGGGCACCACACCAGCACACGCACGCAGGGACTTCTATGTCCGTTTCATTATCCCAGCAAGAAGCTCAAAAGCACAAAAAGATCCTACGCGAGCGCTTTTTAGGCTTCAAGTCCTGCTGCGCGGTGAAAATGCCGCCAGAAATCACTGTTCAAAATCGCAAAGCCGCGGCGGGGAAAGCCGCCCGGCCTTTCCGCCGCCCGCGCCGCGGCCGCCGTGTCCGCGCTGCCGGGGCGGGCGCGGGCAGGGCCGGGGCGCCGAGCGCAGGGGCCGAGCCGCGGGGCGCGGCCGGGGGCAGGTCCGGCGCTGCCACCGCAGCACGTCCCCACCCGCTCGGCCGGAGGGGAGCTCGCAGGAGTCCATTTTATCGGGCCAGCCCTCGGCGGGGCTCGGCGGGCTCGGCCGAGCGGCAGCGCCCCGGGCAGCCGCGGCGGGCGGGCGGTGCGTGCGGCGGGCGGGGAGAGGCGGCGCGGCCGCCCCAGGGGAGAGCCAGCCCACAGACACGCGCCGAGAGCTCGTGGCAGCAGAGAGCGGCGGCTGCGTTGGCTTCCCCCCGCACTTCGTCCGTCCCCCCCCCACCACCACCTTTTTTTTTTCCCTCTTTCCAAAAAACATGGCTGAAGCTGGGACGGGCTTTTTGGAGCAGCTCAAGTCTTGCATCGTCTGGTCCTGGACTTATCTCTGGACGCTGTGGTTCTTCATCATGCTCTTCCTCGTCTACATCTTAAGGGTGCCGCTGAAGATCAATGACAATTTAACCACAGGTAGGCTCCGATCGTCTGCCCCCGTGCCCTGCCCCGGGGCGGCTCAGCCGGCGGTGCCCTGGGGGAGCGCCCAGCGCCGCCCCCGCGGGTGCTGGAGTCCTGGCTTTAGCTGTTTACACTGTTCCTATTGCACTCAAGCGTTCTTACTAACCAGGATTAAAACTTCAGTTGTGTTTCTGATAAATACTAGATCTCACCTACAGAATGGAAGACGATCGCTGTTGCAATGGACTTTGCTTTGGGTGCCCGGACTCGCTCAGGTAGTGCCGCTGCTGTACTGAACCGGCAGTAACTTACGTACTGTCAGCCGGTCTGCATTGGGCAGTTACGGCTCTATCTTGTAATTGCTTGGTTTTCCTACCCATCTACTTTGATAATTTAATTCCTGCCCCTCCCCTCTCCCCAGTCTCCCACTCCCTTGCTGGAGACGACAAATTCGTTTTGGGGCAGCTGAGACGTAACCCATGAGGCATCCCTGCTCTGGGAAGTCAAACGTTATCTGAGCATTTTTCACCCAGCCCTCTGGCCTGTTTTCATTTGATAAGCCTCTGGCAATTCCAGCATCAAAGAAGAATTAAAAAAAAAAAAAAAAAAATCAAAAAAAAATTAAAAAAAAAAAAAAAAAGAAGATTCTGCATAAGGCAGCTTTCACATTAATCATAGAGGCAATTATAAATTGCATTAACAAATTATAAACTTCAAATGCAATTTTGGTCAAATTTTCACAATATGTCTTTGGACAATATCCTGTTTCTTTTGACATTACCGCACGTTGATTAGAACAGGAAGTAATTTTTGTTGCTTGATTCTTAATAATTTATGTAATGCGTACATTCCAGGTAAACACTGCAGGCCATGCTTGTCAAGGAGAAATGTCAGAATGCTTTATATTGTCATTTTCGCTATTGCAGAAAATCACAGGCGTCCATCTGAGACCTAATCAACCCCCTCTGATTTCTTCCTGAGTTTGATTAAACTAATTTCTGATGCACTTTCTCATTTGAAATGTTACTCCAGCTGAGTCATCTTGGGGTTTATTGAAATGTCTTAAAATGCAAGTAAAATGACAGTATGAAGTCTTTGAGGAGTTTTAAAAGGCTGATGGAAGTTGCAAAGTGCTTGATAATAATAAGTTACCAGGGAGAATGATAGATAGGCACAGTATGGTCTTTATGCATCATCTGTTTCTAAATGGAATTTATTTTAAAATTTGTAGCAGTAATAACATGATAATTTTTTGTTTTATTTAGTTTTTCAAAGTTTTTGTGAATTAATTAAAACAGATTTAATTTATTGTGGATTGCCTTCCCCCTTTATACCCCCCAGCTGATTACAGTTGGATTCTACTGCCATTAGTTTGAGGTTGATCATGAAGTACCACAGCAAATGATGATGTGAAAATAAATGTGTAAATGTTGCTACTAAAACTTCTATGTGGCATAAAGAAATAGTAGAGCGATTTAAGAAATGGGTATTTTCCCAGAACAGGCTGGATCTGTTGGTGAGTTGAGGTCAACCAAACTGGTTTTCAGAGGCAGGCTTAGGCAGCCAGTTAAAAAACGTGGTTTCGTGGGTATGGTTTGTACTTCATGAAGTTGTGATTTAGAAAGGTTTTAGAGATTTAGATCAAACACCTTAAACAGAGCCCACAGTGTGCTGCTGTGCTATGAAGGACTAGTGTGGCATAGAAGGGTACCTGCCACAAGAACCTGGCACTTGCTACTGCTGTGTGATTTTGTTTTCCCATACCTAGTGTTAGTATTTCTAAAAGGAAGTAGAAAAGCTGGAGAGGACAGTGGAAAAATGATTACAGGGCTGGAGAGAAGCATCAGAATAAGATTACAGTAAGGCAGTATTGTCATGGAGAGAGAGAAAGAAATGGCCTTTTAATAATGAAAAGAATTACAAGAGTTGATGACTAGAAGAAGGCAAACTCAATTTTGTCATAATCATGTGTTAATTTGTAGCAAACTTGAGTCAGCTGATAAAGGAGCCTGTGGGATTTGCATGTCTGAAAGTCTTCAAATCCAGTGGTGAAATAGGAATCACAAATGTTCATGCAGCCTTAAATTGCTTTTTGGCAAGGACAGGGCAGCAAGCTGTGCACAACTAGCAGTCAGAGTCATTGCCGATGGTTTCCAAGTAGATGTGTTGTTGGTCACTTGTATCAGAACGTCTGAGTAAGAACTGTGGGGTCTTTTTTCCCCTCTTTCAGTGTTGTACAGATGTGCATGTTGGTCATCCTGTGTACTTCAGTGAGCTCCCAAGCTTGGAGGTTCTCAGTTTGGCCAAGCATAATTTCAGTGTCCTTAGTGGAGTACATTACTGTGATTTACCCAAAGGGAAATCTAGTCTTTAATATAAAAATATTAATGTTAAGTCTGTTTGTGGTGTTTCATGTGGTTTGTTTTATTTTTTTAAATTTTTTAAGGTTTGCCGTCCAGATTGAATAATAAAATTATAAATAGGAGAGTTTGAAGTATTGTACCATACCATTAGCCAGGATGCAAGAGAGCACATTTAATATGCCAGGCTAGACTGTTAAATACAGAATAAGCAGTTGAGGAAGCAGATGTTGCCATCTTATTCCAAAATAATTAAATATGCCTATTTTATATAACATGCTGTCTTTTCTTCCCATGTTGGCACTGGCATGACTTCTGAATGCCACACTAATCTGAACCAAGACACACCTCTTCTAAAAATGTGCTTGTTTTTCTTGACATAAGAATTTGGATTTCTAGTCAAATCCTAAGAAGGAAAGAGGCACTGAAGTTCAACAGTTTCTGATTATTTTATTTATCCTTTCAAAGTGCAACAGAAAGATGGCTTTTTGACCAGAGCATTAAGTGTGACTGGCTTGTGACAAGGCAGACAGGAGGAAACCTGTACCGAGGGTAGAGAAATCAGATAAATTGATTTCCTAAAAGTGCAAAACATAAATACATGGGTATGAGCTGTGGACTGAGTCTGGCTCTTTTGGTATCTGTGGAGTATTATTATTCAGCTGTGCTGAGCAAGGCCCTGTGGTTACCAGCTGAGCTGCTAGAGAATAGAGAAGGGAGCATTACAAGCCTGCAGAATGGAAGCAAACAAATAAAGTTGTACTGCCAGGCCCCTGAGGTCAGCAGGCCCAGGGTAGTCATGGCTGGAAGAGCAAGACTACATCACCTTGTGGTGGCTGGGACAGAGTTTTTATCTGAGGAATATGGTATCTTTTTTCATTATAATTAAAAAATACCCTAATATTATGACATTCCTACTGAAATAAATAGCTATAATTTTAATTAATGTAGGATTTGTGATCAGGTAATAGACTTCTTAAAGCCCAGTACCTGAAACACTGTGCTTGGTGCTTGCCATTTGGAGAGGGAAGGGGCTGGTGTGGAGCAGGGCTGGCAGCACCGGCCGTCAGCAGATCCCCACTCACCCCTGTGGTTTGTGTGGCCAGGGGGTGAAGTGAACATGTTCAAAGTCCTGTAAATTAAGAATAACAACATTTTCTCTTTGTCCAGTAATCTCTCATAAGACACAAAATGCAGAGGTTTTAGTCAGCTTGGCCCACCTCACGTGTGTTCACCAGTGTGTGCATTGCACTGACTTCAAGAAGCAAAGCACTTGGAAAGGACCCATCTTATGAAACTACCTTGTGTTAAACCATGTAGGAAAGCTGAGGGTGATTTCATTAGCAGAAATACTGCAGGAGATGGAGAGATGGAGCCTGCTTCTCAGGTGTGGGCTCTGCTGTATTAGGGTGGTGGCTGCTGTCAGCGAAGCTCATGTCATCTTTCTGATCTTCCCTTTCTGGGCTTCCTGACTCTGCAGATCTATACTGCACATTGGTGTAATGTGCCCCAGTAAACTGCAGTGTGAGAAAGAAGTAACTTTTCATTCCCATGGTCTCAAATTCAAGTAGCAGCAGGGAACTTTTGCCTGTTACTAAAATTGAACTAATTTCACTTTTTCCCTGCTGCTGATAAGTTGGCCATGTGGAGCTGCGCGTGCGCAGGCTGTGATAATAAACCACCCTTAGGACAGAAGGGTTTTTTGGGCACTGGACACCTGGGAATGTGTCTTCCCTGGGCTGGGGGGCACAGCTGCAGGGGCTGGAGCTGCCAGTGCCTGCTCGACCTCTGAAGCCACCGCCAGTCAGGTGTGTTTGCTGTGATAGCATCTTGACAGCCGGTCAGGAGGTATTGTTCCCCTTCATAAATTTAAGCTAGTGCAGTTAATCATGAGGGCTGGAAAACATTAACCTGACAAAGGCCAGGGAGGTTCAAATAGTTTGAAAACCAGTGAACAGATTCTTTTAAGAAGACCTGAAGCACAGTTAGTTTTAGTTTTGTAGACTTGCAGGTGGTTGTTTGGTCTTTCTTCAGAGCAATCTGCCATCGTTGTGTTGAGTTTCTCTGTAAGCATCTGCTGTGCGAGCCACAGAAGTGAGTGTGATGGTGGGTGAGTCAACAGAGAACTTGGAGCAAAACTCTCTGCCACCAAAGGAGATGGAAGAATTCTTAACTTCCTGCAAGTGCCATGTAGATTTGTTTGGGGTATTTTTAAGAGCTTGACTGTTGAAAGTAAAATTTCAAATGGCCATGGCCACTTCTGTCAAGGTCAGCATCAATCCTGCATACGAAATTCACAGAATCAGTTACAGACAGGTAGTTTGCTCACTGACCCAAAATGACTTGCATTAATTTTTGCATTTCTTAGAATTTAAATTAAATATTTACTACATACTGATCTTATTTTCTACTTAGTGGAATTAAAGTAAACAGGGTTTTCGTAACTGTTAACCCCCCTCTTCAGTTATATCACAGTACCACAAAGCATTTTTAGCAGCATTTTGCTGCTGAGCCTCCATTCAGTGTTTGGATGTTAGAGGGTTTTTTGGCCTGCCTTTTTGGGTTTTGTAAAACTTAGTTTTACTGCTGTAGGCTAATATTCAGGAGGCTATTATAAAACAGGTTTTAACTGTTTTAAGCATGTGTATTTTCATCACCGTACACTTGGAAACTCTCCCTTTAATTTTTTATGGAAGAGATTATGATGTGCTTCAATGTAGTATGTTACTTTTGACAGGAAGTAGACAAATCTTTGTAGATTAAACCGGGGATTCTTGGGGGAAAAGCCATATCAAAACTTGCTGGATCAATGCCCAATGGATGCAGTATACAATGATACTTATTTTCTACGAATTTTGGCATTTCTTCACAGCTTGACTTTTTGGTTGATCTAAATTTTTCAGTCAGCATCAGATGCTGGAAACAGAGGGAAGTTTGTAGGAAATGCAAGGTTTTTAGAAAATACTGTTTTTAGAAATTGACTTTCTTACTGCAAAAGCTCTAGAAGATTTGCAGTCAGTATTTCAGGGGAAATGTGTAAGCCAGAGTCTTCAAAATAATTTGGATAAAATCTTGAGTGAGCTTGCTGTAACACTGACTGATATACAACCATGGAACTGTACTGTCAGCATCTAACTGAGGTCTGATGTCCTCTGTGTGCTAATGAAAATCTTCCAAAATGCCCCTAAAACTGCATGGGATTTTCCCAATGCATCCACTGAGTGTCTGGACACATTTAGCCCAAAAGAACATAAGGCCCCTATCGTTCACAGGGGTCATAGGTCCTAATTGTCTGAGTGGCTGCAAAAATACCACCAGTCTAAGTTAAAGAAAGAACTTAAAATAGGCATTTTTTGTGGTTATTTTGCAAAGCAAATGCAAAAATCCAGATCATAAATTTGCAATTGTGAAAGACAAAATAAGTGCTAACTGATGTCAGTGCCTCAAGGACTGAAAAGAGAGAGAAAAGTACATAAATCTGTGCCAAGACTGTACATTAAATGAAAGATAGAAGGTCATGATGCCTGCCTGAGAGCAGCACCTGGCAGGAATTAGGAAGATGATGTTTCATAAAACAGATTTTGGAGGGAATGACCTGCCTGTGTTTTAAAATGGATTCTCTGAAAGGAGCTATGGAGAGTCTAGCAAAACCACACTGTTAGCCTAAAGAAGCTCAAGCTGTTTACCTAATCACAGAGAAGCTATTTCATAGTAGCTAAGGAGGTGTAAGAGCTTTAATCTAGTTGACAAACATATAGTGAGCTTCGTAAATATTTGGAGGTAAAATTCATGTTAACTTGTCAGAATTGGAGCCCAAATCATCAGTGGTCTGAAGAAGCAGCCTGGCTGTGAGACATGCTGTGTGCAGTGCCCTTGCTGTAATGGAGACGTGGTTGCTTGTGCTGTAAACTCTGTGGTGGGAAGAAAGTAGTAGGTACTAAAGTAGCCTTTAATACAGGGAAGACAGATCTTAAAAAAGAGGTGGCTGCAAACTGAACCCAGAGAGGAATGCACATGTGAGGTGTTCTTTGTAAGAGATTTTTGAAGATGTGCTTTTGGATCCAGCTGTTATGTCTTTGGTTCTTGTAGTATGAAGACTCTCGCAGTAATGAGGATTGCCAGGCTCTTCAGTGGGGAAATTGGGAGTGAAATCTAATGGCCCACAGTAAACAGGAGAGCTGGCTAGTTAAAACACTATAATGCTGAGGTTTATAAAGCCCCACACCCAGCTAAAAACACTTGCTGATGGTGCAGGTATGTTGTACACAGATAGTCCCAGATGTGCCAGGACTTTTGTGTGCACGCCAGAGAGTAGTCCCTGCCGAGTCCAAGGTTTTTGTGTGTTGTTCAGTCAGATGGCAAATTCTGTGCTTAAGGGAGAGTTACTTGTCTTGTTGGCAAGTGGTAAAGCAAATAAAAGCACTTAAGTGGTGACTTAGGTTGGAGGGCCAAAGCAGTTTCTTCTGGATTGAAGGAATGGACATTGCTGTCAGAAGCTAATGAAGTCTTTTGTGTGGCTGCCACAACAAGTCAGGATTCATTCTTTTTTATCCAAGATTAGTTATTTAAGAAGGTATTTTATATTTAGTAATATCAGGCCCTGCTCTAGATACATGTCAAAATGTTGGCTACAACTGAGAGTTCTATTGAACTGTACAGGGAGAACTAAGACAAAGGGGAATGAGACCTTGATGCTGCAAACCTTCCGTGGTTTAGTTTGTTCCACAAGCATAGGTCCAGGGCTTTACTGCTCTGGTAATTAATATGCATGAACTCTCAAAGCCTTTGGCCTAAGTTTTTTGGTAAGGTACTGCAGAGAGCCTGTGGCAATATGGGGGATAGAGTTCCTAGTCGTTTCTGCCCAAAGGTATTTTTTTTTTGTCCTGTGGTTTGATGATTGCACCAAAGCTTTGCTTTTTTTTACCAGAGCTGTTTCAGGAATGTACTTAGGGCTTCTGTCATAGAATTTAAGATAATTTCTATCCTGGTCCTTTGGACAGACTTTGAAGTGTTTGTGGGGATGTTACCCCTCTGTTGGCTGTTAAAGGAGCTGAAAGCTCCTTCCACCTGTTTTTAAATTAGCTCTTTGTGGCACTGAAGGCATCTATTGAAAGGTTGTGTTATAAACTCCAGTTTGTCCTCATGTGTGTGAAGTGTCATGTGGACCAGTGATGCTGTGCAAATACTAATGAGTTAAAGTTGCTTTGTGAAATCCCAGCACAGGCTAATTGGAATTGTTTTGTGTGTGTCTTAGTTAGGCACTGCAGAAGGGCAACAAGTTTTAACACCAAGAACACTAAGCCTAAGCAACAATAATGCATTTAAAGACAAGAGTTAAAGTCACGCTTTCAGCAATCAGAACAAACAAGTTGGAACTGTTAAGCCTGAGGAAAGGACCTAAATTCAAAGTCCAAATCAAACCTCGCCAGCTGCAGAGAGAAGACAAAGATTTATTATTGTGGAGTCTAAACTGGAGATTTGTCACTGTGGTAGACTCATCGCTTAAGTGATTAAGTGCACTTAAATATACCAATTGGAAGGATGAAAGCTATAGGGCAAAAATGAAATGCGGTCATCTTTAGGATTCCTATTCTGTGTAGTGTGCCTACTGCAACCATGAGAACTAATTTCCAGCTCACTTTTACAAATAAACTTGGCTTATTAAATGTCAGGAATGTTAGGTTGAAATGCAGGGTCTTGTGTGCAGTGGCAAGACACTCAGAGATCAAATTTAAAGCACAAGAAATGTTGTTATCATCATCGTCATCTTATTTTGTAAGGCGGCCATTTATTTCTCAAGAAAATATACTTGTAACCTGAGAGTGTCATAGATGTTGAAATTGAACTTGACATAACTAAATGTTTTTGTGACATGTCCTGTATGTTTATGCTGAGGGCTGAAAATTGTTTACGGCGTGGCTTGGTCTGAAGCAAGGTTATATGATCCACTAATGCACGTAATCGTCCATGTGAAATTTCTTTAGCTATTTTTAATACTGAAGTTAACTTGATAGCAGTGTACCCATCTGGTATGTTTTACACAAATCTCAGCTTAGCGTCCCAGGCTAGTCATTTCTTCAGTTTTCAGAGAGAAGGCTGAACCAGAGCCTGTCAGAGAAGGCTTGCAGCTGGCCTTCCACCCCCTGTGCAGGGGACAAGGGGACACACAGTCCTGGGGTGAGGCTCAAGATACTTCTTGAGCAGAAGCCAACTTTGTGCAGCAACAGGATGCTGCAGCTGAGCTGATGAGCCCTCCCTGTGAAGAGAAGGACCTGAGGAGGTCTTGTGCAGGGCTGCATCAATGCACAATTACTGATCTTAGAAGCCAGCAGTGTCTTCTCTGTAAGAGCTTGACTCGATGGATTTATCTGCCTGCTCAGAGTAGGCTCCTGTATTGTGCTGTGCTGTTATAAAAGTGCCTTCTGGTCCCTGTGTCTTGACTGTCCTGCTCATTGGGTCACAGGACAAAGGAGGATTGATACAAGCACAAGTGAATCGCTTAAGCAGTTCATACTGTTCTACATATTCCCAGAAATTCTTGTCAAGAGTTTACTGTTTAAAAGTGCTGATGCCAGCTGTGTTAGCAGTCACCCCAAAAGCCACATAGTCTTGTGGGGAGCACAAGTCCCAGGGAGCTCTGATTTGCTCCAGGGCTTCCTCAGGTGTCTGAGCCACAGGATTTCCTCAGACCTGGCGGGGAGGGTTTGGCCTGTGTTCCAGCTGAGAGTGTTTTGTCAGCAGCTCTGCAGAAGGTGGAGTTTCCAACCTTCATGTCCTCCTGTGAGGAGTATGTAGGGGCTGTGCTCTGTGCCACTGGAGAGGTGTGCACGCCTCTCTGGGTCCTGACTCCAACACACAGTTATATTTTACATTATCTTCCCATAAACTGCTGCACCGAAAGATTTTTTTTTTCCAGAACTTGACAATTCTCATGGATAGAAGCTTTGCTCTCACTCTGATTTAGATGTATGTGTGGCTGGCTTGCACACATTTGTGCTGTTGACAGCTCTCTCCTTTACCTGCAGAAGCAGCATCGTGAAGACTGGTTCCCAGTGCACTCGTGGGGTTTTTCCTGCCTGTCCATCGCTTGTAAGATTGAGTCAATTGTCCTTGTTTGTTCTTCTAAAACTTCTGTATGTCCTTGATTCTGCTGGTAGTAGTTTATTCGTTCAGTTTTCTGGCCATTTCAGAAATGGGCTTGTACACTCTCCATCATATGCCAAGGTAAGGCTTCACTAACTGCCTTATATAGTGTAATTAATCCTTCTCACCTCCTAGTGAAAATAGTTTTCCTTGTTGGTTCTTTGCCTTTTGCCCCATTAACTTTGATATGGTGTCCCTGGCAGCTCCCTGCCTTCTGCACCTCCCGATTTTGGTAATGAAAATACTCTGTAAGGCTCAGCTGGCAGCTCCATGTGCTTTCCACATCATCCAGACTGGCTGCAGTTTTCTCCATCTCCTATTTTTACTAGCTTTCTACAGCACTGTCAGTACTTTACTTAAATCCAGACAGTTTATAGCTACACATTTTTCTCAGTAAGAGAACTGAATATTTTCAGTAAATGGGCACATCTGATTGGTCTGGCATGATATATTTATTTTGTGTTTCATCCTATTTTTTGTGTACCTCCATTCCTTAATTTATTGTTACCCTAAAAATTCTCAGTAGTTTGAGTGTGCATTTTAAAAACAGAAATATGAAGTACTCTGGCATAATTTGAGGCCTTTGAACCATTTATTAAAACTGTCTCAATATGGGGCTTGCTTTTACAAGTGTAATTTCCTTCAGCAAGTTGCTTTCCATACCTTCTCTTAATTTTATACTTAACCATGTCTTGAACATGTTAAGTCCTTTGAATTATATCTCACTTTCTCCTGTCACAGTGTCTCTTTTCTTGCCCTTCAGTTATTTTTTTTCCTCCACATTCAGCAGTTTGTTCCCATTCAAAAATGAAATAAGTATTCACTTTGGAAATTATCATATCCTGTTTTTTACATTGCCGTGTCCTTATTTCTTTTGTTGAAATAATCTTGGTTTGTTTGATTTGGTTTGTGATCTATTTTAGGTGTTTTCATACAGATCTTATGACTTGGTCTGACTTTTTCAGATATAGTTTAATTTCTCTGCCTTTTGTCCTCACCAAACCAGAGGGAAATCTTTGAATATCCCAGGTCTTGCAGGTATTATTTGTACAGGGCTGATATTGCTTTATTTGAAGGCCTTACCTGATAGACTGGTATCATAAGATTGTAAGGTGAAATTGAAATTAACTTTCCATTATTATTTTAAGAAAGACTGTGTTGCAATTCTGGTCTCCTTGAAGCAGTTGGTAAAGCTCCTACTAAGTTAATAAAATGATAATGTTGCCCCAAGAGGTTTTTTGGCATTAGTCTCGATAGAAGAGGGTATATAGCATGAATGATTCTCATACACCTCCCAGCAATCTGAAATAAGCTTGCACATTTGCTGGATTTGAAACACTACAGGTATCAAGAACTGATTCTGATGACAATGATACTGGTGACACTGAGAACTGATGACGGTGCAGGTTAAGGCATTTAGCATGAAAAGAAGTTAACCCATCTAAACCTAATCCGCAAAGTTTCCTAGCTGTTTTTATTAAAAAGTTTAAAACTTTTTAACCAGTTCTCTTGCCACACATTTTTATAACTCTTGAAGTTGTAATACAAATTTTCAGTTTTTCATAGGCTTTCTGACAGTGTGATGAATTTTGCATGACATAAGCCAAACCCAGTAATTAATAAACCACCCACTGAAAACTTTCAGTGCTTCAAGTACTATTCTACTCTTCTGTAAGTCAGGTAGATCTGAAAATCCCAGTTTTTCTACAGGCCACATTCAAATTGCCAGTGACTGATTATTGAACAATACTGTTGTTGGGTGATTGTTTTTATTTTTGTTTCTGAGCAATATACACGGTAGTAGATAAAATATGTTATATACAAAATATATTTTATATATTACATTATATATTTATGTTAGTAATATATATGTAATAAAATACAGTGCTGTCTTCCTTGTGTTTGAGGCTACGCTTTATCATTTGGGGTGCAGAGTTAGTGATGGGTGAGACTAATTGGCATTGTTTGCTACTTTCCTTAGGTGAGCAAGTAATACAAGCTTGAAATAAATATCCTACAATATCTTTCTTACAAATCTGTTCTTTCCTAGGTGCAGTGGAGTTCCTGTTGCCGGATGGCAGCAGTGTGTGGGACTGGGTGCTGCCATGCTCCTGGCTGTGCTGTGAGGCTGTGGTGGCCCCTCTTGTCTGTTGGTGTGAGTGAGAGTAGCCACCCCTCAGTTATTGGAAGGGGGGGCTCCGTGGCTGTGAATGCCCACCCAGCTTGGTTCACTGGGAGGACAGCTCCCACCCTGGGGATCACCCAAGATCTCAGCTCCTGCAGTCTGGGTTATGACCCCTTGCAACTTGGCAGTGGACCCCTAGAGCTGGAGTTTGTGATTTAGTCCAGGCTGAACACTGGAGACTTTCTTAGTCTAAAACAAACAACCAACAATCCAAAAATCAGCCACAGAGAGCCTACAGACAGCTGCTCTGTCCACAAGCTCCTTCTGTACATTACCATCGTCCTCTTTCCAGAGCACACGTGATCCTTCTGCACAGGCACAAAAATCAATAATAAACAGTAAATGAATAACGAGAAGCCTGCCAACCAAAATCTCTCTTGTGTTTGCCTTCGTGTTTGTTTTCCTTTTCTAATCTAATGTGACGGAGAAGCATTTAAGGGAAAAGGATGCTGGGAATGATGAAACTTTATAAAGCCTTTTCTCACGAATGCTTTTGTTTTAGGAGCAAGGGAGCTTTGGTGGTACCCATGGTGTTCGGACATTCCCGTGCAAAGCCTTGTGCTGCAGGCTACAGCTGTGGGCTCCTGGGCTTAGTTCCCCAGAAACTCTTTCGTGTTAAGCTTCAAAAACCCATGGCATTGATGCAGTAGCTAGGGACATGTCTGGTTCAAGGTGACCTCTACAGTTCTCAGGATGTGTTTTTATTTATATACAGAAGGCGGGATTGATCTGCCTTTGGTGTTTAAGGTGAAGATAAATTCTCATTAAAAGTCTCTTTTCTGTTCCAGTTTGCAAGATTAGTTTGTTTTGGATATGTATTTTAAACACATAGACTGGAATTATATCTGCAAGGCAATGTTTTCAGAAGCACCTGGGGTATTTAATTACCTATGCTTTAGTCAGCCATTAGTTTACTCATTAACATGTACTTATTCATGTACTCTTTATACTAAGCATAGTAATAAACCAAATAATGTTTTGCTAACTGAAGGAAAAGCATTTAATATCTGATACACAATGTATTAGGTGCATCTGTAATGGGACAGTATTCTTTTACTCATATTCTAGTGTAATTCTGTACATCACAACCATTGCCTTTGCAGGAAGTTATGCTGTCAATTTGGAATAAAAGTTAATATTAATGAGAGATGTGAGAATACTGTAAAATAATAATAATAAACCTAAAATATGTGCCAGTTCAAACAAATCTGGTTATGGTGTTTGTTTTCCATGAATGCTGTAGTTCAGCAAGAGCAACATTGGCTGACTCGGGTCCTCAATGTTGTCCTTAAAATACAGGTCCCTCTGGACTGATGATTGCCAGCGCTGCGTGGCAGTAGAGGGGAAATGTCTGAGGTTTGTTCTTAATTTATAGTGAACAAAGTACATGGCATATTTACTTATAGAGACAGTTAAAACTACTGTTTGGCATATTGCAGTTTTAAGTTTAGTAGAAAGGATTCATTGACTTTGAAATTGTAGTTTTGATATGCAAAATGTTTATCATGCAGAAACTAACTAGAAGCCGGTGCACTGGCATTTGACTCATGTCCATTTCCTAGTGGTTGCTGTTCAGCTGGGAACAGCGAGATCGGATTTTTGTTCTGTTGTACAGTTTTTCCCTTGCTGGTTGCCGGCCCTTGGGCGTGCCTTGCCGCCCCGCTGTCAGTAATGCCGCGTGTGCTGCTCGGCGCTGTGGCGGCGGGACAGCCTCGCGCCGTTCCCGCTAGAGGGCGCCTGGGAGCCGCGGGGACCGGGAGCGGCAGCGCCCGTGGGAACGCGGGCTGGAGAACCCGGGCGTGCCTGCTGCCAGGGGCCTGGCGGGGCGGCCGGGCCGCGCCCGCGGCACAGCCCCGTCTTTAAAGCGGTGTGGGGGGCCCTCCATCTGCCGCTGCGGGCCCTGGACTGTCCCCGTGTTGGATCGTGTTACCGCAGAGTAACACGTGCGACCCTGCACGCAGTCACATGATAGGTAAAAAATAAAGCGGTAGGGCCATCCTGCCGCTGATACAGTTGTAAGGTAAAGTCCCACCCTTGGGCTTCGGAAGTCTGCTTGGGAGGGGGTCCTGTACGCGGCTTTTACAAGGTCAGATAAAAGATGAGGTTCATGACGTGTAAATCTCAGTCTACAGAGAGCTGAAAGAACTACTGTGACATCGCAAAGCTGGATTATTTTAAGCAGGACAAAAAAGGGAAAATGCAGGACTAGTTGTTGACTGAAGTGACTGCCACAAAACAAGCTAAACAGCGAGTTAAAGCCAGTTGTGATAGGTGCTGCATTTATTTGCCAATGCTCTTGCAGACGGCAGGCTTTTAGACAGTGAGGACAGTTTGTGTGGAGGTGCTGAGGAGGTGACTAATACCATCCTGCCTGCCTTTATTCCACCCACTGCCTCAACTGTTAAGGCCACAGTGTTTTTACAGACATAAAGTAGTTTCTAAGGCTCTGGAAAATTTGTGCTAATTGTTGTGGTGTAATGTGTGTCTGGCTCTGGCTGACTTATTCTGTACAAACAGCAAAATGATCTTTATTTCTTGAAGGTTTGTCTCCTCCCCAGCTGTTATTAGACCTCATGTCTAATCTGTCGGACCATTTGTGCATACATGCAAACATGGCTTTGTTGTTGGTTTTGTATATGTAGAAACAAATTAAAGGTGTATATTGTTTTTTGTGTATCCCTTGCTCCCCAGTATAGCTGGTCCGTTCAGGAGTCTGTAACCTTGTTACAGACGTGGTTAACTTATTTTAATACAAGTTTTAAAAAATGTCCCTTTTGTTTCAATATAAATCTTATACAAATAATATGTATATTGCTCATTTTAGCATTTGGTGTCTTTTATCAGAGATTTTTCAGGAAAGAACTCACTGCTTTCCTTTGATGCTTATTGGGTTGTTTTTTTATAAATCAAATCAATTGAGTTCTAGTTCTGCTCATACAGTTTATTCTCAAGCTCCTTTGTATTCTTTCTCTGGACTGCCATTGATATTTTTTATGTACACAACAGTATTATTAAAAAATGTAGGTGTTTGCAGCTGATCAGACAGTTCAAACAGACTCTTCAACATCAAGAGCCTCTGGAACAGCACATATCTACTTCATTAGGATTTTGTCCATGAGCTTATTTGGGAAATTTCAACTAGGTTGGTGCTTAAGTGCCTGGTCTTTGCATGGCTGTGTGTTAAATGTTAGCTCCCACCTTTATGTCATCCATCCAGACAGACTAAAGATAAATTTTAAGTGATAAAAGATGAAAAACAGCATTGCAAGTAGGATTTGGAGTAGGTTGCCAAGTGCTGAACAGGTCTCAAGAGTTTGTAATTCCAGCTCTCCACCTGTTCTGCACTTAATGGATTGATTTTTTGTGTGTGTGGCTTGTAAATGAACTACAAGGTACAGAGACTTCTAATGAAGCATACTAGGTACAAACAATTTAAGTACTTAAATTTTTTTTTCTGTAAAGTGTTCTAGTGACAGTAACAAAACATTTTCTGGTGTCTGTCAAGGCAGCACCTTAACTTCAGAGAGATTTGAAAGACAAAATACAAGGAAATTTGTATGATTACCAGCAACTGACATTGAATTTCAAGGGCATAGGCATAGGTGTTCTGTTCAGTGTTTTCCTATGTCTCTTTCCAAGTCTTGTCACCTCTTGCACTTAACATGGTATAAATATTTGGGAGTGCAGTGACTTTTCAAGAATAGCTGATTTGGTGGACAAGCCCTTGGCCTTTCCTTAGCTTACTACATCTTCTAATGCTGAACAACAATGACTAGGTGAGAAGAATTTAAAGGAGTTTGAATGTGAAGTAGTTTGCTGTGCAAAGACTTTTAATAGCTATATTTGCCCAATTGTATTGTTACAACTGCAACTGAGAACAAGTTAACATGAAATATGAGCCGGGCTTACTGTGCATTTTTAAAATTAAAAATACTTATTCTTACTAAAGGAACAGGGAAATGCCTGATTTATTGATGAATTTCTCAAGTATTTTTCTGTATGTATTAGGTTTGCATAGCCAGGTTTTGGTAGCTGGAAGGCTGCAGGGATGACTTCTTTGAGAAGCTGCCAGAACATTCCCATATGTCTGGCAGCCAATGCCAGCCAGCTCCAGGGTGGACCCACCACTGGCCAAGGCCAAGACAGTCAGAAATGGAGGTAATACTTCTGTGGTAACAGATTTAAGAAGAGAAAAAAAAGGTTACTGCATAGAAGTAATTGTGGCCAGAGAACAGTGGGGATGAACATATGAGGAACAACTCTGCAGACACCAAGGTCAGTGGAGAAGGAGGGGAGGAGCTGCCCCAGGTGCTGGAGCTGAGATTTCTCTGCACACCATGGTGCAGACGATGGTGAAGTAGTTGTGCCCCTGCAACCCTTGGAGATCTATGGGGATACTAAGATCCACCTGCAGCCCGTGGAGGAAACCCACACTGGAGCAGGGGCAGGACTCCTCCCTCTGAGTGATGGCAGAAACAATAGGTGGTGAACTGACCATAACCCCCATTCCTTGTCTGCCTGTGCCACTTTGGGGAGGAGGTAGAGCTGGGAAGGAGCAAGGGGTGGAGGGAAGATGTTTTTAAGGTTTATTTTACTTCTTGGTATCCTGCTCTGATTTTGGTAGTAATAGATTCTGTTAATATTCCCAAGTTGAGTCTTTTTTGTCTGTTATGGTATTTGGTGAGTGATTTCTCCCAGTCCATAACTCATGAATCCTTTGTTTTATTTTCCTGTCCTGTGGAGGGGAGTGATACAGCAGCTTTGGTGGGTGCATGGCATCCAGCCAGGGTCAGACCACCCCACTGTAAACCAAGGGTTTTTATGTGTTCTTGATATTTCTGAGCAATGTAGAGAGTTTTGTATGTACAACCAGGCTGTGCTCCAGAAACTACACCTAACATAGAAACCT